GCCCACAACGGTGCGACTAGATGGGCCGGCGGAATGAGCGAAGCGATTAATAAAAGGAGGAGGACAAGGATAAGGAATATAAGGAACACATGCAGGAGGAGGAGGAGGAATAGTCAGAAGAGGAGTCAGGAGGAGGAGGAGAAGGAGGAGGAGGAACAGGAGGAGGAGGAAGAGGAGGAGGAGGGGGAGGAAGAGGCGGAGAAGGAGGAGGAGGAAGAGGAGGAGGAGGAGGAGAGGAGCAAGAGGAGGAGGAGGAGGAGGAGAAGGAGGAGGAGGAGGAGGAGAGGAGGTAGGACTGAGGAGGAGGAAGAGGACGAGGAGGAACAAATGCAGGAGGAGGAGGAGGAGGAGGAAGAGTCAGAGGAGGAGTCAGGAGGAGGAGGGGAGAAGGAGGAGGAGGAGGAGGAGGAGGAGGAGGAGGAGGAGGAAGAGGCGGAGGAGGAGGAGGAGGAAGAGGAGGAGGAGGAGCAAGAGGAGGAGGAGGAGGAAGAGGAGGAGGAGGAAAAGCTGGAGGAGGAAGAGGAGGAGGGCTGAGGAGGAGGAGGGAGGAGGGAGGAGGGTGGAGGGAGGAGGTGGAGGGAGGAGGTCGGTCGGATCGGGCATTGAGGCGGTCCTCGTGCCGTGATGGGGGATTGGCCCACACCCCGTGAGCCAGGGGCAACGTAACTTTTGTTCCCCACGTCACCCCTCAGTGCGAGGTGGGTACCCAGCTCTGAGCCCGAGCTTGCCATGGGGCACCAGGCCCGCCCGGCACGGAACAATGGCAGGGGCGGCGGCGGAAAGGCGTAAGCCTCGGAAGCGAAACAATGACTGACGGGGGGAAGGGAAAAGTGAGGGAGAAACGCAGCTGGCGGCCAGAGGAGAGCAGGAGGAGGAGGCGGAGGAGGAGGAGAAGGAGGAGGAGGGAAGCGCAGGAAAATTAAGCAGCAGTACGCCCAGCTCACCTTCAAGACACCACCAAATGGAGGAGCAGGTCCGTGTCTGGAAAGAGCACAAGACTAATTTGTACTGCACCGCGATCGGCACATGCTCAAAACAGGTCACCGCATCGGTTCAACCACTGATTGCGTGTTCGTCGAAGTCCGGCAGGCTGGCATTCCAGAGTGTCGCAACTCCCAGGGCAAGCAAGACAATGAGCGCCCCAAGTTTCGGTCACGCTGGCAGGACACACGTCCTGGAGGCCGTAGGTCGCGGATAGGCCGGAACATCCAAAATGACCAGCACTTGCGCGCGCAAAGGGCCTGACATGTCACGGACTCGGTGTGTCACGTACCAACGGAGACCCCACACCAGGGAGGTAGACGTCCGTGTTAGGAACGCATACTGGCCGGCCGTCAGCGACAGCTTCACGATAGGTCCCTCCATGGTCGAGCCTGGCGCCCACGACGGCGGAGCGTTGCGCAACACCGTAACAAACAGGATGTCCTGGACGCCGTCGCACGCGGATAGGCCAGTACAGCCGAGCGCCTTCGGCGGCTCTGCAATGTCACGGAGATGGTGCACCTTTCGCCACTGCGATGCCAATCGGAAACCCCACCAATGGAAGAAGAAGAAGAAGTCACTGCTCGGAAACACTCGTGTTCGCACGCCCTGAAGACACCACCACATGGAGGAAGAAGCCCGTGCTTGAGTAGAAAACGGACCTCTGGCCGGGTCAACGTCACCACACCTTGGCCGCATTGTATTTGCCAGTGCTTAGGAGGACATCTCAAGACATCGTGTATGCAATACGCAAATCAGGCACGAACTTTGCAGCCGGCCTTGCTAATAACAACCAGTACCCAGATAGACCGCATAACTAAAATGCAATCCGTAAGCCTGGACCAGCCCAGGGGGCCACGGCTTGATGGCGTGCTGCGCGAGCCGCTTGGAGCCGTGATGCTCTCGCATGGGCCATCTCACGGTTGGCCGCGATGCGGGCCAGTTGTTCTGGTGTGAGGAGGAACATCAGGTATAACACAAGTTTCGTCAAGGGCGTCCGCCATGTCCTGCTCGGTAAGTGCATCCGGGAATGTCTCGGTAACAGACTCGTGGGCCATGGCAGGGCCAGGCGCCCGAAACCGATGCTTCTCAGGGTCGCAACGGCACTTGCGAGAATGACTACATGCATCGACGACGTCAGGGGCCCACGAAGTCCCGTGTGGGTCCCAACCCACGTAGAAAGCCAACAGCTCAGCTTGGGCACCCCCGGGGTCCAGCAAATCTTCTGGGTACGTCTCAGCGTCGGGGCCCCCCAGGGCCTCGATAGGAAGTGTCGTGGACCTCGCAAGGGCGGCGCACAACAGGGGCTGGTACATTTTTCGAGCGGGTCTCGATGTCTGCTGCTCGGAGTCCTTCGCGGTCTGATGGGCTCCCCAACGGGGGCGCGAGCGGCCGCCCCAAACTCGCACTGATCAATATCAAGTGTGTGCGGGACCGGCGCCAGCACGGGAGCCTGAAGTGGGGCCCATGAGAATAGATTTTGGGTCTCGAGCCTCCCATTCGCATGATGCGAGATGCTCCATCCAACCATTCGTGCCCACAGTAGCGTGCTGCGCCAGAAGGATGACCAAAGCAATGAGCAGCGTATTTACGACGGTGAGCTGTCGTGCCTGTCGCGCTGTAGCATTGCAGACTCCCCAGAACGCGTCATGGGTGCGAAGCGGGGGCGGGCTGGGAGGGCCGCCGCCGGTGAGGACAATTCGACGAGCAAGCACATTGCTGGACAAAACGGCCAGGCAATCATAATGGCTTAGATTGCATGTATCAGCATAAATCGCGATGTCAACGGTCAGGATCACGATGGTGAAATCAGTCGCATGATGCGCCCATTCCATCTGCGCCTGGTAGTCACCATCGCGTCGGCGCCCGAAAAACAAGTGCGCAATGTAGAACTCGACCCTGTTGATTTTGACCGGGAATCGGGTGGCCATAAATCCAGAATGCGCCGACGTACGAAATCAGTCCAAAGGATATCTTACGGGGAAAGCGTCTTCGACTGGACCTGCAGGCCGCGGAAGCACCTCCACCTGTGGCTCCGTTAAAGGATCCCTCGCCTCATCGGATAGCGCCAAGTCAGAGTCCAGCAGGATAGCTTGGGCCTGTGCGGGGGCAAGCTGCTAAAATAGACCCTGCGCCAGATTGGGCAGGACCCTGGGAGCCCTGAAGGTCGGGACGGCAGCGCGCCGCCAGAGCTTTGCACTTGCGCGGGGAGCACTATCGTCAACGTCTGGGGCGCTCACCGCAGGGCCCAAGTGGATGCAAACCACCAGGCAGACGGGTGCATCAATAGAGAGGTGATCGATGAGCAGCGCGTGCTTATGAAGGATACGAAACCATGCTTGGCATTGCGGTAGGGTCTGCGCCCAACGACGAGCAAATCGAGAATGCTGACAGTGTACTCAGGACATGTGCGTGCGAAGGCCCTGTAATTTGTCGAAGGGTTGCCGACACCACGGGCACGCGTGCGCTGTGGCAGGCGAGCCAGACAACGCACGTGAAGGCAGGACGGGAGAGGGGGCATTGAGGAAACGGCACGCCGGCAGCGAAGAGGTCCTGGAAGATTGCACTCTGAGCGGCAGCGGCCCGTTGGATCCTGGCCCGATGCGCTGCGTCCGCTCCCAGACCCGCGCGGACCAAACGCTTCCACCGAACCGGGGACTGCAGGATAAACTGCTCCCAGTCACTGAGGCCTTGAGGGAGAGCAGGGAGATCGCTCAGGTCGGACACGCGCTGCTGCAGCCAACGCAGGTAATCCAAGAGGAGGTGTGCGCAAGAAGTCTGCTGACAAAGCTGCAGACGTTGTCGGATGGCTTCCTTCAGCGCGAAGACGCGACCGAGAAGAGCGAACACAGCAGGCGGTACTCCTCTCAAGAGAACAGCAAGAGGTCGGAGTCGCTGGGCCCGCAATAGAAGCATAGGCCGCGGTCTGTGAACCTGGTCCAAGACGCTCGCATCCGTAACGTGCTGGCTGGCACTGGCCAGAGAGCCCCAGGGAGGAGGGCGGAAGGAGGAGGGAGGAGGGAGGGAGGGAGGGAGGGAGGGAGGGAGGGTGGGAGGGAGGGAGGGAGGGAGGGAGGGAGGAGGAGGAGGAGGAGGAGGAGGAGGAGGAGGAGGAGGAGGAGGAGGAGGAGGAGGCTGCGCTGGATGCGGCCCGCTCTCGGGCCCGCACCCCGGACCTTCTACGCAGACAACTCCCACCGGGGGGGCAGATGCCCCGAGAGGGATGGGCGGAGAGCGCAGGGCGGCTCTGCCAGCGGGCGCTCGGCGGAGGGCAGCGGAGGCCAGCGGTGCACCGCGGGCC